CTACTACGACTACGACTACGACTACTACTACTACTACTACTACTACTACTACTACTACTACTACTACTACTACTACTACTACTACTACTACTACTACATGCCTCTCTTTCTTCTCATCCCTGTCCTTTTCAAATCTCCTCTACCTATCTATCTACAGTCCAAGGTAGAGCGACGATGCCTGTACAACACGGGATCAAGAAAGCAGACCGAGGTCGAGAGGAGGAAAACGCAGGGCGAAGGTCCTTTTTGAAAAGGAACTCGGATGATTAGGATAGCCCACTAGGGTTCAGGCCCGTCCACCCTCAGCCAGCGACACGCCCGAGGCAGCGACAAGACGGACGGGGTGCAAACCGAACGAAAGCAACCACAACCTGGGCACCAGTTCCAACGCAGATCACATCATCTGCATCGTCTCCGCGAGGAACGTGAGTAGGAGCCACGTGTGATGGAGAGCAGGGGGAGGAGGAGACGGAGGGCAAGAAAGGGACAAGAAAAAGGCATAGAGGGGGGCGTCAAACGTGGCTTCAAACCCAGAGCAGCAAAAAACACAGGGACGGTGAGTGTCGACACACGACTTGGAAGAGAGAAAGAGAGGAAGAGAGAAAGAGAGGAAGAGAGACCGAGAGAAACAGAGAAAGAGAGAAAGCATGATAGAGAGAACCACTGAGCGAGAGAGGGAGGGAGATGGAAAGGATGAGGGAGAAATGGAGGGAGAGAAGGAGAAGAGGGAGGGACAGCAACAGGAGGAGGTCAAGGTATATAACGTTACCAACCCCTGCCACAAAACGGGGTCGCACCTGATAGTGTCTGTGCCTTTGGCAGCCCTCAGCTGGGCCTCTTGACTTGATGCCGAGGCTCCCTCCTCCTCCTCCTCCTCCTCAAAACAAGCAGAACATCCCAGGGTACCCTCCCCAGGATGCACAAGAACATCCAACAAACACGAGGAGCACTAGGGTACCCTCCCCGAACCGACCTCGATCTTCTACCTCGGTCCGACTGTACATATCAATGCTCCGCCCCTCTTTCTCCTCCCCCTCGCGGCGCGCCTCCGCCCCCTCCCTCCCCATCTCCGCCTCCTGTGCCTCCGCCGTCGCGTCATCGTGCTCCTCCTCCGCATCCGCCTCCCCCATCCACCCGCCACCAGTCCCGATCCCTCGCCCCCTGCCCAGCCTGCCTGCCTTCCCTTTTCCCCTCCGCCTTCCTCCTCCTCCTCCTCCTCCTCCTCCTCCTCCTCCTCCTCCTCCTCCTCCTCCTCCTCCTCCTCCCACCCTTCCCTGCTGCCCCCTCCCCCTCCCTGCCCTCCTCCTTCGCGCGCTGGCTCGCGCCCCCCCGAGGAGGAGGGAGGCCCCAAGCAGACCAGGGAGGAGGGGCCGACGTGTAGGCCTCGCTGGGGCTCTTCCTGAGGGGGACAATCCACAGCTGGCCCTGGGGAACTCCCCTCTTTCTGATCTGGCCTGGGCCCCTTGCCCCCTACGTAACCTGACGCGACCCGAGCCCCCCCCCGCTCCCGAGGGAGCCTCCTGCTGCGGCTGGGCTGGAACACGGGGCCCTCCTGACATGGGCCATGCACCGCGAGGCCGACTGCATCGGCGGTGCGTCGGCGGCGCCAGCATGGAGAGCATCGCGATCTGGGTCGCGCCACACCGCCGATGCGTCACCAGATCTGGAGCGATCCAGTGACCCCATTTCGGAGCTCGGGGATCTACTGACCTGGAGCTCGGGCTCTGCAGGATCCTGCTAGATCCAGCGCTCTGGCAAAGCCCCCGTTTGCAGTGAACCCCGTCGTGAGCCCCGAAGAGCCTCTGACCCTATACTCCTCCGCTGTCCCGCGCCTCCACAGATCAGCCATCATCGACTCGGGAAATCGGGCCGAACCGGAATGTGCGGCGGGCCCGGGCGGCGTCGGCATGGAGTCGGCATCGAAGCAAATGTTGGCCGCTCCACGGTGCACAACGGCGCCATGGGACCATCGGGCCGCATCGGGTCGTAAGAATGTCGGGATCTAATCGGGGCGGGCTGGCCGACACCGATACCAGGTCGGACGGGTCCGGTCCTGCCTTCTACTCCTGCGCGAGCCTCCTGCTGCACGGGGCCGGGACCTGGCCCCACGTGGGGCGTCGTGGGGCCGATCGTGCCAGCGATGCGTCGGCGGCGCCGACGGCGCCGGATCGTGCCGCACCGCCGATTCACCAACAGGGGCGCGCGGTACGATCCAGTTGCCTCGCGCGGATGCCCAGGATCGGCGCTGATCCCCCTCCTCCAGCGTGCGGAGGCACCAGGGGCGGCGCCAGGGTTCCAGCGCCGATGCAAGAACCCCGTTCGGACTTCCAATGATAGATTGTTCTGCCGTTGCTTCTTCCTCGGATCCGTTCAGTCCTGCTGCTCTGGCCCCATCTCAGAGCCCACGACCCCTTTTTCTCCCCCCCTGGCACCCCCAAGGGGCAGGACGGAGCTGCCGAGATGCTCACTTGCCGTCCACCACCAGCGGCTTGTTCAGCCTTTCCATCATGGCCTGCGCAGGGCAGGTCCGGACGACGACGAAAATCAGCATGAGGATGGAGGAGTCGGGAGAGCGGGACGAGGTGGCGCAGGTAAGACGAGGGAGAGCAAGCTGTGCGAGAGGTGCGGGAAGCACGAGGGGAGGTGCCAGACGTGACAGAGATGATTTCCGCTCCTGCTCTGGAGAGGGCCACATGAGCGGTGCCGGATCGACCGATGAGGCATTGAGCAGCTCGGTGACTGTTCGTACTTCTGCACGGAGAATCTCAAGCGGAGACTGCCCCCCCCTGAGATGCACGGATCTAGGACTGACGTCCCCCCCCCCCAGTCACTGGAGAGCGAGCTGGGGCCGGGGGCGTTCGGCATCTGGCTTGGGCTCGGTGGCTCATTACTCGGAGGGAGGAACATGGCGCTCGTGATGACCGCTGCACGGCTCCGGGATCATGCGGGAGGCGATCCGTGGCTGCAAGCCCGGGGGCTTTGAACCCTGGGCTTTTTGAGCGTGGGGGGGAGCTGTGGGATCTGCGACCACGGATGAGGGCACACAGCGTTGGGTTTAGGCCTTCGAGCCAGGAGGCGTTACGCGGAACGATCATACCTCAGCCGCTTGTCCACACCTCAGCCAAGAAAGCCGAGCCCTGGGCCCCGAACCTCTAAGCAGACGGCCTCCGCCCTGGGCAGGTACCCGTCGCTCGGAAGAAGCGGGCAGCAGCACGAAGTGGGAAGGCCTCGAGAGCACGCTGGATCCCCCCTTCCAGGGGCCCCCTGAAGAGGAGGGAAGAGAGAAAGCCGCTTGACTCTTAAAGCAGGAGGGCGCCTAGAGCAGAGTGGGATCCGAAAGTCCGGAAATACCTGCGCGTGAGGTGCCTCGCAGCATCCCTGCGGCGTGCTGAGCTCACTCTAGCCCTGCTCCCCTCCTCGGGACCACGCGCCAACCGCACCGCCTGCAGCGCGGTGGAGTCTCGCACCAGCCCCTCGCCCCATCCGACGACGACGACGACCTCGACCACGACCACGACCACGACGACGACAACAACGAGGATGAGGATGAGGAGGAGGAGGACAACGACAAGAGGAGGAGGATGAGGAGGAGGACCACAACGACAACGACGACAACGACGACGACGACGCTGACCACTGCACTGCACTGTCACTCCAGGAGCGGCATGCGACTCGCCACTGCCTCGACACCTGAGACGGTCGTGTCTGCCCGTCCTGCCGGCGAGGACAACGACGATGACGACGACGACGACGACGACGACGCCGACGACGACGCCGACGACGACAATGAGGGCCGCCCCTGGAGGAGAAACAGACGGTGCGACAGTGTCAAGACATCTCGTGTCGACGCCGGACCCCCCTCCACCCAACGCTTCCCCAGCGCGAGGCCCAGGGGTGTGGAGCAGTGGGTTCAGCGCCGACCCAGGAACGCAAGCGCACACCGCCGAGCATCTGCGCTTCACGATGTACGCCGCCTGGTTACTTACTCCAGATTTCGTAATAAAAGGGAGGGGGTCTGGACCCTCCAAGACAAGCCATTTCAAACCCCCCCCCGTGGGAGAACCCTCCAAAACATCGTCCCCAGACCCCCCCAGGCCCTCCAAGATAGCTTGGAAGAGACCCCCCCCCGGAATGAGACCCCCCTCCCTTTATTACGAAATCTGGAGTATCGAGACGGGTGAACACGGACCTCCTCGAGCGAGGTCCAAGCGGACCTCGGAAAGACCACGCCAGAGCCACAGCTGCCTCCTCGAGATCCCGGCGGGCCGCCCCGCCCTCGGCCCGGCAAGCTTTGAGCAGGGACCGACCGTCCCGGCATTGGTTAGGCCTACCACGACATGCTCTTTGAGTCCAAAGATGTCCTAAACACATAAACCATAATCTGAGAACATGAACCCGATGTTTCAAAACCAAACAATCTGAACCAAAAAGAATTTAAGAACCGCGTAGACCACAAAAGGTTGTTAGAACATTAGTTGGTGGGCCTATAGGCGAACCTTGACGCTTCGCCACTGCTCAAAAGCTGGAGGGGAGCGACGCCGCGACCCGCGGTCGTCGCCAGCACTGACGCCGCAGCCGCCGCCTTCGCAGCCGCCGCTGGGGCGGCGGCGGCTGTGCGCCTTCAGCCCCGCCCGCTCGCGGTGGACGCCACGACCTCTCCCAGCGGACTCCTTGCCCTTGCCCTTCCCGGCACCCTCCTCGAGGGATGCGGAGGGCGCCAGACTCATTACAGTATGAATTCACTGAGCACTTGATACTCTAGCTGCGCTGTGGTTACCAAAGTAAACAATAAGTACTCTCGGCGGGCATGCTGTAGTCGCGGCTTGGCTGGCGCATGGCGGTCGAGGGGTCGATGCCAGATGTAGCGAGTAGGGAGGTGTAAAGGGCATCGAATCCGAACTCCTGAAGAATCGCCAGGGCTAAAACGGAACCGAAACAAAAACTGCAGCACACCTGCACCGCACCTTGCCGAGCCCACCGTGTGCCTCTGGGACCGGAGCAAACACGCCCTCCTGGCCTGGCGAGGGAGGCCTGTGCACCGCTCGTGGGCTCGGTCCGGCCAGGATCGGGGCAGGTGTGTAGCTCGCCATCGCTCGGACGTCCATTCCCTGTGCTTTTTTCGGTTTCGTGCGTGGTTCTTTCGCCAAATGATCAAGCATGCTCCTCGATGGTCCTCGCCGAAGGAAAAATGCACACGTCCGAGCGATGCCAAAAGGTGGCTGACGTGCTCAAAGGTCCTCGGCCCGCGCCTCCTCGGCGCTCTTGCCCTTCCCGGCGCCCTTCGCGGAGTCCTCACCGGCGGGGGCGCCGACTGTGGCCGGCTCGCGTCGTGCTGGCGCCGACGCCCCGAGGTTCGCTGGGCGAGGCTCGCGGCTCAAGGCGCTCGGCCGTCCTTGCGCCTTCCTGGGCCCCTGGGGGGGCGGTCTCGTCGCAACGGCTGGATTCGCCTCGACATTCTACTCGGAGGACACCCCAGACATGTCGTGGGGTCGACTCGTGAGGCCCCAAGCCCAGGGCCTCCGACGCGACGAGGTCGGCGCTCTCACACCGTCTGGATCGGTGACTTTTAACGGTCGTTACCCGGGCGGGGGTCCAGGCGGGGGAATGCAGTCGAACCTAGGACAGAAGAACATCCCTCAAGAACATGAAACCCTCCGCCGCCCAAAACACAGAACGTCCAAGGGTACCCTCCCCAGGATGAGCAAGAACAGCCAACGAGCACGAAGAACATCAGGGTACCCTCCCCGAACCTACCTCGATCTTATGCCTCGGTCCGACTGTAGTGGTAACGGCGGCCGCGGCGTGCACCCGCCAGAATGCGTCCGCACCGGCGCATCAATCGCCCGTGTGCACCACAGCATGAAGTGGGGGGGGACGATCATCTGTATGATCGGCCTCTTCCGTGGGATGATTGTCACTCCCCAAAGCTCCTTGCCCTTGCCGGCGCCTTTCTCCGCCACGGGTTCCTTCTCGGCCTGGCCCGGGCCCCCTTTGCGCCTTCATCGTCGTGTTCCGTCGTGCTGCTGTGCTGCGGAGCTGGCTCCCTGAAATAAGCAATCACCCGCCTCCTCCTCCTCCTCCTCCTCCTCCTCCTCCGCCTCCGCCTCCTCCTCCACCTCCGTCTCCGCCTCCGCCTCCTCCTCCGCATCTTCATCATCATGAGAATCGTCCTCCCTGCCCATCAGTCCGACAGTTGGACATCTGCCAGGGTACATACATTCCAGTCGGGGTCACGAGAAGCCTCCCAGAGGACCTCGCAGAGCGAAACCTCCCAGAAACATCCGAATCTCGAACACCCGCCTCCCCACCTCCTCTTCCTCCCGCTTTCTCGTGCGCAATCCCTCGCCCTTCAAAAAACTCGTCCCCGTCGCACCCCCAGGCGCGTCGGTACGGCATGCTGGGTGCATCGCCTGAGACTTCCCCACTACCTGTGATCCTGATGATCAACATGCGCAGCAGAGTCTCTGGTGGAGGGCAGCGCTCGCCATAGCATCGCGCAGATGAGCCGCGGCGCCTGTTCAAAATTGCGTTCTCGCCCCGATTTGCTGCAATTATAAACATGTAGGGGGCCGTTTCCAGACTGGAGCTCTCGCCTGAGCACCGCGTACTTTCGCTGTAAGAGTGCGCAACACTCTTGGGGAAGGAGGGCAACTCCTTTTCAAAACGAGACTTCCGACTCAGCGCCGCGCACGTTCGATTTGAGTCATTGCAACAGTTACACAAGGGTGGGGCACACATTGGATTTAAAATAGGGCTGTCGCCTTAGGGCCGAACAAACGCGTCGAAAAGTTTGGAACATGTCAAACATGTATGTAGAACGGATCTGTTGTTTAATGGTGCTTTCCCTTGAGACTTCCTCGAAGTGTATGACCACAGGTATCGCCACAGTGCCGATGGCATTGAGTGGGAGTGACCTCAGGACCTTTGCCAAATCATAATTATCATCATCATCATCAGCAGCATCATCATCATCAGCATCATCGTCATCGTCATCGTCATCAGTATCATCATCAGCAGCATCATCATCAGCAGCATCATCAACATCACCATCATCATCACCATCAGCATCATCATCATCATCATCATCATCAGCATCATCACCAGTATCAGCATCATCATCAGCATCAGCATCATCAACATCATCAGCATCGTCACCACCAGCATCATAATCATAAACAACATCGAAATCAGCATCATCATCACCACCAGCGTCAGCATCATCATCTCCATCATCATCATTATCATCATCGTAGTTGTCGTCATCCGCAGCATCAGCATCAGCATCATCATCAGCAGCATCGTCATCATCAACATCATCGGCATCATCATGAGCATCATCATCAGCATCATCAGCAGCATCATCATACTCGTCATCAACATCATCATCCTCAGCATCATCCTCAGCAGCAGCATCAGCATCATCATCAGCATCATCATGAGCATCATCATCAGCATCATCATCATCGTCAACAACACCATCCTCATCATCATCATCATGATCATCAGCATCATCATCATCAGCATCATCATCATTATCAGCATCATCATCAGCATCAGCATCATCGCCAGCATCATCAGCATAACCAGCATCACCAACACCATTAGCATCCTGAACGTCATATTCATCATAACCGTCATCGTCATCGTCGCCGACATCATCAGCAACATCATCATCATCATCAGCATCAGCATCAGCATCATCATCATCATCAGCACCATCAGCAGCAGTATCATCGCCAGCATTAGCATCAGTTTCAGCATCATCATCATCATCATCATCATCATCAGCATCATCATCACAATCATCATCATCATTATCATCATCATCCTCATCATCAGCATCATCATCATCATCGGCATCATCAGCATCATCAGCATCATGATCATCATCATCCTCATCAGCATCATCAGCATCATCAGCATCATCATCATCACCACCATCATCACCATCATGATCATCATCATCATCAGCATCATCATCATCATCATCATCATCATCATCATCATCATCATCATCATCATCATCATCATCATCATCATCATCATCATCATCATCATCATCATTATCATGACCATTCCCAACCATCCTGTGTTGGGTCCCCGTTATGAAGAGAACGCCCCGCGATCTCCTCCTCTCCTCCTTGTTTCCTCCCTCCTCCCATGAGTGCATCTTCCCTGCGCATGCCCATTTCGGCACTCTGCTCACCGCATGCCCATTTCGGCACACTCCTCACACGGTTCGTGGCCCCATAGAGAGCTCCACCCAAGGCCCCAGTGGAGAGAAACAAGATCCATCCACCGCCACCCGGCCCCTGTAGCCCCGTTCTGGGCCCAGGTCTTGG